TCACCAAGGGCTACTCCGTCGTTTAAAAAAATAAAGATAAAAAAGGAGACTACAGTTAATAGGTGACCCAGACAGTCGTTAAATAAAGAATCGAATGCGGCGCGCAAAAACACCTTAGGAAACTTGAAAAATGCAGAAAAAAATTCAACGGGCCATTTGTGTGGGTAAGTGGGGAAAGTTGTAAAATTTAATTCGATTTTTTCAGTGAAGCGTAGCAAAATCAAATAACTTATCCATATAATGTTGGTTTGCCTCACAAATACTGATAATCCGCCCATGCAAAAAGTCACAATAAATCGAAATACACCAGTTCCGCAAATATCCTTATAAGTTAAGATAAAACTGAGCAAAAGCAAGGTAACAGAAAGCTGTTCGGTATAATAAAGAAAAGAGAAAAAATAAAGAAATGGAAAAATAGAAAGGGTTAAGCATTCAAGTCTAAAATATAAGTGGTTGAAAAGATGAAAGTTTTTTCTAAATATAGGAAGCGCCTGTGAAAAAAGAATGTAGTTAACAAATGAAAACACAAGGCTAGTGCCCCGAAAATGTATTATAGTAGGCGATCCGGAGTTGAATAACAGGAATGGCTTCAAAAGAGCAAGAACAACCAAGTAAAGACCAGGAGGCGTCGTAATTTTTGGATCCCAATGAGAAAAGTTGCCGCTATAAAATAGCAAAGTCTGTCGTAAATGAAAATACTCGTCCATGTAGTGTGACGGTTGGTAGAATGAAAAGATGTAATAAATAAAAATTCCTAAATATATAAAAAAGTAAAATAGTGGATCTTTTGTTGTAGTAAGTAATTCTATTGACAAGGGAGCTTGAAGTCTGGAGGAAACCGAACGATGCAAGGAAGTCATGAGGTAGGAGGATAGGAGAGGACTCGTGGGTGGCGCAGAGGCACTAATATAGCATTTAGTAAGGTAAAACCAATTATATATTAACGCAAAGTGTGAATACAAAAATTAAAAACCAATAGATTTTTTATTTAGTAATTGAGCTGTTTAATCTCTTTTAACAATTTCAAACGATTTTGACTACATCTGGTAATAGCTAGC